GTAGAGGAAAGTAAGGTACGACACAACTACTTACGTTAATACTACTAGTCCTCGTTTCGTTTACGTAGGACGGCGACTCACTCACTGTTCTTGTTCTTGTAGACGACTCTCTCTCTCTCTCTCTCTCTCTCTCTCTCTCTCTCTCTCCACTGGACAGCGATCACGATAATGAACTGTGATTTTTCACAATATGTTGATCTATAAGGATACGTTTCACTCCAGCTAGAACCCAGTGCTTTAGAGTCTCAGACCAAAAGCAGCTGGGTCGGCCATGTCCAAAACAGATGAACTGGATGGCCTAGTTTTCCCAGTATTTTGGGGAAGCCACCATAAAACTAGGTGGTTTCTTCCAAATGATAGGTTAATTCTTGCTGAATTTCTGTTCCAAAGCAATAGCAAGACATTCTTATGTCTGGCTTGAACAATCAGATACATTGCTTTCTAAAAACACCAGAGAAACATGAAAGAAACAATAAGAAGCAAACTGAGTACCTGGATCCGGATCCACTTTTCGATTAATTTCTTCATTACTAGGCAAACCAAGCTTCAATCTCACGTCTGATCTCCTAGCTTCCAACTGTGGAGTGGATTGCACGGGAACGCTAACTGATGTTTTGTCAGTTCTTAAACAATTAACACCTGTTCTCTCTCTAGAATGATTGGCAACCCCTGGTTCGAACGTCACGCGTTTGGATCCTGTTCTCAGTTGGTGATCAGATTTTGCAGATACAGAAGGATCTAATTTCTTCATAATACTTCCTCTCTTACTCTGAGATGGTGGGCAACTTTTAACTGCAACTGTCCTGTGATTTCTTAAAGGTTTCTTATAAGAGAGAAGAAATGGCGCTTCATCAGGCTTTGGACGAATGGGTAATCGAGAATTCATGCATGGAATCCCCTTCTGCAGTAATTTTCTTGGACCGTCAACATTCAACGGACTTTGACAATCTAGAGTGGAGGGGCTTGTCAAGATAGAAGGCCCTTTATTCACAGCAGGGCTTTGGGGGATTGACGAGCCAAACTTTTTCTCTCTAGAAATCACTTTGGCCGTAGACCGCATCCTCGTAGGGTGACTAGCAACTTCCGGCAATGGGATGAATTTTACCTTCGAACTCTTGGACAAAGAGCTTCCTGTTAACTTTAGATTAGGAGAAACCTTAGGTGGGATAGTTCCCTCCTTCTGAAGATTAATCATCGCAGGTTGTTGAATATCATTAATATTTAGAGAGAGATTCTTTTTGACTGGAGTTTTCAGTTTCTTATCATCTGGCATAAGACGAACCCCCTTTTTCTTACTCGAATAGCTTTCCGGTGTTGCATCCTTGGATGAACTTATCCTTCCTTGGCTTGAAAATTTAGCGCTGTCATGCCCATCGCCATCTTTTTGAAGAGAATTTGAAGGGCATTGCTTAACAACTGTGTTTCTTTTAAAAGGTGGTTCAGGTTTTGAGCAACATTCTTCACAAACCCAGTCTTTTGGAAGACTATTGAGTTGCACACGCATGCAATATCTGCAAGAAGGAGGTTTACAGAATATGGGTATCAGAAAATGTCAATCAAATTTGAAACTATTTACTCTGTGAACCCGATACACCAAATCAAACTAAAAATGATAGCTGTAGAAAAGATAAGAGGCACAAACATATGTTCAGTAGACCCATTGCATTGATAGCAAACTGCAAGGTCATCCCAGAAACCGACATCACCACATATATCACATAATCGCGCCTGCAAAGAAAATAACCTCATCAAAGAATGAAACTGGGTTTGAAGATTTAACAGGTCTGCAACAGTATGCACTTTGCAGAACTATACACTACATATGAATACTCCAAAAGTGAAAGAGCTTATGCTACAAATGACATCAAAATGAACGAGTGTGTTTCAAAAGCTCCTATTTCTCTTTACAAAGGCTACCTATGCTAGAGAAAAAGAATTGTTTGCATCTGAACATAAAACTCAGCTGCATTATTATTGTTATATTATTA